AATGGGCTGAGGGAAGAAAAATATCTTGATTCCTCAGGAACTGTGAAGTCTTTAAGTTGCTCAGAAGTGGGTGATATTTATGTTAGATGTATTATTTAATCTGTTGAGAGGATAAACAGAGCCAACTTAAAACTTGTTTCAGTAATAGTTCGTATTATAGGCTAGCATGTGCTGTTTTTTTTTTTTTGTTGTTGTTGTTGTTGTTTTGTTGGTTTTGAAATCTTAGAGCAGTTACAGTGAAATCTACTCAGCTGCCTCATGGAGCTAAAGGCAGAAAACTCACCAGAGCAATGGTAACTGGCAAAATTTGTTCACATTCAATGGATCTACTGACTCAGGACCATAGTACAGGCAGACACCAGACTCAATTGGCACAACAAAATACATAAAAGTCTTGTTCCTCATTCTACATTGGTGAGTAGCGCCTGGGATCTTAAAAGCTTTCAAGCAGCCATCTAAGATGCAGCTAATGGTCTCCTACCATTGGAAGTGAAGAAGAGGGGAAAAAAAGAAAAAAAAGAACAAGGGCATTTGGAAGCAATCAACCCTAGGACACGATGGCCCTCAAGACCAGAACTAGATGGTGCCCAGCTGCCAATGCCAACCACTCAAGAAGGGATCAAATCTGGAGATCCTGGATAGAGTGGGAGGAAAAATGTGGAACAAAATCCAAAAACTCTGCAATGACCAGAATTACTGGTAGGATGGAGTCTGGTGAGACCCCCAATACTATGGCCGTGGTATACATTCTGGGCCTGGAATAAAACTCACTCTCAGGGGCTGGCTCTCAGCCCAATAGTAAACAAGATATATACACAGACCACTCAACCCAGGGTGACGTACCCACATACTCTATGGAGAGGCATCTCATGGAGCAATCAACTACGGGGCACCAGAGGGGCAACATTTACATGGAAGAAATGCAGGACACACAGGAGTGCATAACTATGAGGGTGGGAGGCGTGGTTACTGGGCAGGGAGGGGAGGAGACTGGGTTAGGGTTGGGGATGGTAAATGGGGAGTGAAACTAAATGTACGCATAATGTTGAATGTAAAACAAACTGCTCTGTAAACTTGCACCTAAAGCACACATGCACACAAAAAAAATCTGTTCACATCCTCGCTAGGAACCAATCATAACAGTAATAACACCATACCCTTACTTCTAGGGAGCTTTATAGTGTAAAGTATTTTTATTTCAGTAATTAAAAAAAAAATTCATAACAGCCCCCAAAAGGGCAGGGATTGTATCTGTTTGGTTGAGTCTTGGGTCTGGAAGCCAGCCAGCCTGCCCCTGAGTCACATCCAGTGAAAAAGGGTATCTGGCATCCTTTCTTTGCAGTCTGAACTGAACTGTTCCGTTTTGGCCCACTCTGCATGCTCCTTTCCAACCCATTTTGGATATTCTCAGGAGCCTGACCCCTTTCCTAGTTCATGCCGTAACCCCTCAGACTTGACTTTTGTTTCTGCTCTCTTGGCCTTGACCTATTTCAATTCCTACCTCAATTACATCTGTCTGCCCCTTTGACTAGTTTCTCTGCAGCTGCTCCAGGATAATACAGCCATGCCCAATCAACATTTCTGCAGCTACTGTTACTCCTATTGCTTGTAAACAGCAGCAGCTATTATTCAAATACTTAATGGTGAGTCAGACATGGAACTTTGAGTATTTCATCTCATTAAATTTTTGAGCCTCAGAATAACCCTATGAAACAGATACTACATTAATGCCTATTATAGAACATATTCCTATCTTATACAAAAGAACCTGAGTGAGCCCAGTCAGTGTAGTTGAAAGAACATGGACTTTCATTCGGGCTCTGCTATGTTTTATGGTATTGTGTAATTTTAGGCAAGTTACCTAATCTCTTTGTGTAAGTATCTTCATCTGTAAAAAATGAGGAAGCTAAATTCCTACTGTCTGAGATGGTGTGAAGATTAAATGGGAAAGAGTTTGGCACAAAGTAGGATCTCCAATAAATAAATAAATAAACGAGTTTCTTTTTTCTTTTAAGGCATTCACCTTCCACTTCTGGTTTGCATCAATAAGGACCAACACTCCTTTTCCTAGGTACTGTTATTAAGTTGATACTCTGAAGTTCCAAAAGCCATTTTTAAAGAAGTTATTGTCCTAACTTTTCCTTCTCAGTGAAACATCAACTTATGGCTGTACATTTCATCAATGAAAAAGTGGAAGGGGGTGGAGGGTCCTTTCTCATAAAGGTGTGGGAAGCAGTTTTAGATTTCAGGGCTGGTTGAGAGTAACAGTTGCAGTGATGTGTAAGCACTCAGTTTGGGGTCTGAGGGAGTGAGTGACCTTGGGAACTAATTGAATGCACAGATGTGCTCTGACAAAGAAACTCCTGTATTGCCTAAATAATGTATAAGAGATTTTCATCTGACAACAGGGAAAATTGAATTATTTAGCATATTTCCATTTCAGTGAGTTAATCAAGATAATTGCTGTTTTCCCAGATCTTTGTCTTTTCTTTGTAATTAACAAAGTCCTTGTTTGGAGAACAGGATTTAGCCAGTGAACTTTGTACAAATAGCTGTGACATTTTTTTGAACAAATTATATTAAAAAATCTATTACAGATTCTTTTTCCTTTGGATTCTAGACTTAAGGAAGTGGTGCTTCATCAAGCTTGAGAAAAATTTATGGTTTAAGGATTCAAGTTCATTCGGGATTAACAAATTTAGCAGGGGTGACAACAGCAGGGGGCAGAAGGAGCATGAGCTTTGGCAATGACAGACTTGAGCTGTAATCCCTTTTCTGCCACAATCTCAAGGGGCAAATGAGCTCTCTGAGCCTCAGTTTCTATTTCTGTGAAATGGATAATATCACCTGTCATGAAGATTAAACGCAGTAGTGCCCGCAGAGGACCTTGCTTAGTTCCTAGCCTTGCTGAACTGCTTATACTCAACAATATTAGTTCTTTCCCCATCTCCCAAACACTTAGCTAACAGTTACAATCTAGCAATCTCAGTTGTCTAGTACATGGCCAAGACTTTAAAAAGAAGCTTCAAAAACTCTAAATAGGAAAAAGGCGATGTTACAAAGTCCATTCATTAAAATCTCTGTTAGAGGAATACTTCAGAATCTGTATTTTATATTTGTATTTATTTTAAATTAAACATATAATATAGAATCTATAATAACTTATGCATATACATATATATGTAACTATATACCTATATCTATATATACAGTCATGCAGGGGCTCTGGTAGCATAATGCCTAAGGCACTTGACTACTAACCAGAAGGCTGGCGGTTCAAGCCCACCAGCCACTCCTCAGAAGGAAGATGGGGCAATCTATTCTGTGGTAATACTGCCTCAGAAACCCAAGGAGGGGTCACTATGAGTCAGGTCCGACTTGACGGCACATAACAACAACAACAACAACAACAACAACAACAACATATAGTCATGCACTGCATAATCATTTGAGGAACATCTGCCCACATATATATCCTTGGTTCCAACTCTGTAAAACCTATTATATTAAAAAAATTGAGGTACATACAATAGTTCGTAATAACTGGCACTACTTTGTGACATGCATCAAAATATATTTATTATTACTCGGAAGGAAGGTTGGGCAATCCTACTTCTGTAGTGATACTGCCTCAGAAACCCAAGGAGGGGTCGCTATGAGTCGGGGCTGACTTGACAGCAAAACAACAACAACAACAACAACTGTATTATTATGTTAAAGATATTTTAGTGTATCTGGAAGTGTTCTGTTAATGTTTTTTATGCATACAAAAGTATACTATATATTACTACGAATATTTGACTGATACTAGATACAAACTATATCTAATTGTTCTGACTTATGTACAATTTCAACTTAAAAATAGACTGAGGAAACGAACTTGTTCATAATCTGGGTACTGCCTGTATATTATATGGTGTTTGCACAAGATCCAAACACCTAATATCCTATTTTACAGAACGTATAGTGGACATTAAGTGATACATGACTGTATATATATTCATTCATTCATTTATTTAAAATTTTAGGCTAGGATTATAATAAGCCACACAATTTAGCTCTGGTAACATAGTGCCTAAGGCACTTGACTGCAAACCAGAAGGCTGGCAGCTCAAACCCACCAGCCACTCCTCAGAAGGAAGATGGGGCAATCTACTTCTGAGCGATAGTGCCTCGGAAGCCCAAGGAGGGGTCGCTAGGAGTCGACATAGCAACAACACCACCACCACACTGGACATAGAGCAGGTAAATGAGCTACTCAAGGTGGGCACTATGACAGAAACAAATAGTGACATAAGAGCCACACTGAGGCAGTAAAACTAAATCAGTTAGAGACAGGAACTGTATCTACCAGTTTCACGTTAATGATTCTAAAAGGGGTTTAGAATCACTTTGGGCAGGGGTGAAGGCTTCTGTACTCTCTCATTTCCCTACTTTCTGGATCATCATATTATAGCATAATAGATAATTGTTGTTTCTTATTAATAACCCTGACTCATAAAAGGAAAAGTTAGATTATGTCTTTATGAACATGTGTTGGAGAATGGAAGCATATAATACACATCATAAGAAGTTCCATCCAAAAGGGCAAAAGTGAAATTTTTTGAAATTGAAGATGTGAGCTTTGATTATGTGGAAAATCCATTCACATGGAATTGTTCTTTCTTGTACTGCTATATATCTATACAGTGCTTTTGTTTGTCTGTGGTATGCTGGTCAGGTATCCACAGTTCCCATTTTACAGATACAGAAACTGAGACCTAGAGAGTCCAAGGCAGAACAAAGATTCAAGCCCAGTTCCTCTGACTCTAAAGCTCATGACTTCTCCACTACACCATGCTCCTTCCTTCCTAGGAAAAATCATCTGGAATATGATGGTTTTCATCCCAAGTCCTGAATTAAAATGTAATATACACCAAGATTAGCGTTCCATCGATTCATCAATTCCCAAAACGCGTTTAATGAAACAAAATCACCAAATGGCCTGACTTTATACTTACTCATAAAATGTTGTCCATCCATTTTCATTGCTTTTGGTTGCCAGAAGGCCAGAGTTGCCATGGTATGTCATCATTGCCAACTCGTGTCCTTGTGTGGTCACACTCTTGAGTGCACTATTGGTGCCCATGGTCACCCAGTATACCTGGCCATCTGGGACCACCAGCCAGAGAGGCATCCCGGTAGAGTCTCGGCGGACATTGACCATGTTGCCATTGTTGTCAGTGATGAGTGTGACATCACCATCCCCAGTGTAGGTAAAGTTGTACAGGTAATCTCCTGTGGGTAGGCTTTGGGTGAAAAGATGCTTGCCACTGGTGTCAAACAAGTAGAGCTCCTGGTCAATTGGTGAGGACAACTCATACATGTTCTGGGTGTTGAGGAAAGGCTTGTTCTTCCTGATAAACCGAATTCGGATATTCCCAAGGTCAGCCACATAGAGCTCCCCATCAGCACACACGGCCAAGGAAGATGGGGTATTCAGCTTTGCGTCTTTGGCATAACCATCATCTCCAGAGAAACAATCACAGTTGGCATCATTTTTACAGTCACAGCCACTGGGGGCCCCAGCAACTAGCGAGATTTCTCCACTAGTGGTAACCTGCCTGATGCGGTTGATCTTCTTCTCATCAGTCTCAGCAATATATAGGACCCCATTGTGTGAAACAGCCAAGGCAGTGGCAGACTCCAGGGTTGCATGTATGGCTACCTTGCTCAGCAGGAAGTGGTCGATGCCAGGGACCTGGCAGTGCATAGGCCTCCCGGCGACAATGCGCACCTGGTGATTTTCAGAGATCTGCAGGACCACATTGTTGTCGAGGACATAAAGAGAGTTGTCCATTGGATTGATGGCTAAGTCTGTGGGCCACTCCAGGCGAACCTGACAATGGAGACATCAACATTCAAATGACTAGCAAGATGCCCACCATGCATCATCCCACACCCTCATGTAGCCCATAACAATGTTCAAAGAGTCTTCAGATATAGTCTTACTTGCTCTTCATAATAGCCTATCATCAACTATGGAAGATGAGCTCCTTGAGTAGAGTGAAACCAGGTGATAGCTACCACATTTTTTGGTCTCATTAGAAGAAGGGGATAATAGTAATAGCAGGCAAGAGGATAGACTTTGGAGTCAGGTAGGCTGGGTTCTAATCCTAGCTCTATCATGTATGGGTTAGTTAGCTCTCTGTGCCTTAGTATTCTCATTTGTAAAAATAGGAATGTTAATAGAGCAGAGTACGGTAAGCACTCAGTTAATGGCAGCTAAATTTTGGAGGTGGCAGGGAAGACAAAGTCTAAAGCAGGCATTTTTCAGAGGTTTAGGAAAGATGCTTCATGACTTTTTGAAATGATATATGAAAGACTTCTCAGTTCTTTGAGTTTAGGAATTAAGGAGCTCTGGTGGTGTAGTGCCTAAGGCATTTGACTGGTAACCAGAAGGTTGGTCGTTCAAACCCACCAGCTGCTCCATGGAAAAAGACTGGGCAATCTACTTCCATAAAGATTTACTGCTTTGGAAACCCAAAGGGGGTCACTATGAGTTGGAATCAACTCTATGGCAGTGAGTTTTGGAGTTTAGGTATTAACACATGGCTAGATACCAGTGATATAGAGATGAAATGACTATGGTCTCTGTCTGACATAGTTCCAGACCAGCTTCTCATATATGGCTACATATTCAAATTACTCGTGCAGAGTTTAGAAAAGATTGATGCTCAAGTCCCAATAGCAATTAAAATTAGAACCCTGCGTGTGAGGGTCAGGCATTAGCATCCCCTCCCAAAGCTTCCTGAGTTACTTTAGTGTGGGGTTGAAAATCACAAATGGATCCTTGTTTCTTGAAGTACGATGATGATCGGTGTAGTAGCAACAGTATCACTTGGGGGGAGCTGGTTAGAAACTTAGGGAGGCAGGACTCACTCAAGACTTTTGAATCAGACCTTATATTTTAACACGATCACCAGGTGATTCCTATGCTCACTGGCATTTGAGAAACATTGCTGTAGATAATGGTTCTTCTAGAAGGGATTAATGAAGTTGGCAGGGGAAATGGGAGTGTATAGATCCCAGGAACAATATCTGAACCTCCTCTGAGCAAAGCTGGGAAATGGTTGAGATGACAGGTGAGCCTTTAGGTGGTACACAGCTGGAAGGTTCCGAGGCAAGGAGTGCTTGGTTCAGTGGCTGTGGAGGCTGGGTTGCTGGATGTATCACACCGACAGGTGTTGGCACTAAGAGAAGTACTTTGTCGATTGTGTCCCTGAAAAGTTTAGCCACAGTGCACATGGCCAGTGAGGAAGAAACTGTGCTTATGCTGACAGGTGCTGCTGTGGCTTGTTTGTCTACCCCGTCCCTAAAGACTCATCACCTTAGGATTCCTGAGTCCCTTGAAAACCTGTCCAATTTGGCAAATGTATTCCTTCAGATAAGATATCCCTCTTCTAGGAATTTACTCTTGTATACCATTGACTTCAAGGGTGTTTATCAGAAACATGTTTAAGAATAGTGAAAACTAGAACCTACTCAAGTGCCCAAAGACACAGAATTGGCTAAATTTACATTTAGTTCACCCATATGTCAGAATACTGTGTGTGGCCCTTAAAAGTGATGCTAAAGACAGATATTTAACCACATGGGAAAATTTTAGCTATGAATTAAGTGAAAAGAGCAGGTTATGTGTGAGTGTGATCCCAATTGGGGAAAAAATACAGTAAATTAGATTACAGATGGAGAGGAGATTAGAAAGCTTGTGAGATGTACACTAAAAGGTTAACAGTACTAGGCTTAAAGGTGATTTTGATTTTCTTCTTTGTGATTTCTAAATTTTTAATACTTTTATAATGTATATGTGCTACATTTTTCTAATGTAAAAAGAAATCCCAATAAAATATCTGTAGATAAGGTGTGGCTACCTCCACCTGGCCTCAGCTCACAGTCCTTGTCAGGATGGGGCAGGCCCTTTTGTATTTCTTCAGACTATGATCCTCAGGCCCTGTTTCCTAAATCCTGTAGCTTCTTCACTCCCAGCCCCAGGTCCCTCTGTCTCCACAGAACAGGGGAGCCCGCAAGCATTCCAGAGCCACTGCCTGGCCAGGGCTGCTGCCTTCACACTTTCTAGCACTCTCTGAGCACAGTGTCACAGCAGCCTTTGGCTGCATCAAGAACACAGTTTACTCTAAAGTGACAGGGGACTTTTCAATTTTAAAACCCATTTCTTGTCAACACTGGCTGCTAAATATTTTATGCCCTCTGGTCCTGTGGCACCTTGGGGACCCAATAGCTGAGACCTTTCTGCCTGTCATTATGATGAAAAGATGTCTCCTGAACGGGTAGGAGGAAGGGGAGGAGGCAGGTGGAAGGAGAAAGGGGGAGTTAAAGGAGGGAGGAAGAAATGAACAACAAGTTGTTCCCTACTCTCTCTCTCTCTCTGCCCCTGGATGCTCACATGCACAAAACCATGCTGGGAAAGGAGAAGGAGCACTGCTTTTGGAGTCAGCCTGAGAAGCCAGAAGTCATTGCTTTGTCATAGCTGCCTGCATGATGATCCTGGACCAGTTCAATTACTAAAGCCTCTCTGATTTGTCTTCCCTATTAGTGATGATTATGCTGAAGATTAATTATCCCACTAGCAAAATAGAGTAGGGACTAGATTCTGTATAATCTCTCCATCTCCCACATTCTATGGTCCTGTTGTGGAAAGACTCTCCTGCTCCCCTGGCCTCTTACAGCTTTCTGTGCCTTTATTAAAGCACTATGAACCGAATGCCTTGTTGCAGAGTTCGCTGATTCCAAAATGGATTGTCCAGTGAGTGACCAAATGAATGACTGATGACACACAGAGGGAGAATGAGGAATGTGGGGTCAGAACACCTCACTTCCTAGCCCAGTTAAACAATTACTAGATGTGCAACCTTACTCAGATTACTTATACACTTTCAACTTCTTTCCCATATATAAAAGGGTGTAATAAATATTACATAGGGTAGTTATGATTCAATTGATGTATAAGGGAGTTCTTTGTAAATTAGAAAAGGAACTAATATTCACAGTATATTACTAGCTACCAGGTATTCTTCTAGGCCATTTATATTCATATTTCATAAAAAAAATTCATTTCTACATCCCTGATGGAACCAAGTACAGGGCTCAGCATTTACAAATGCATTTTCCTTTACTGAGTCTCAGTTACCATATCTAGAAAATGTGTCAGATAATATCTACCTCACAGGATTATTGTGACAGCTAAATAAGATAAAAGAAATCTTACTCACCTCTGTATCCACATTTCTAACAAAGTACCTGGCACATAATGAGTCTCAGAAAATCATTTCAGGGCCTAAGTATAGAGATACACTCAGTATGTCTGCGGTGACCATGTCCTGATGAGCTGAGAACCAATTCCCTGTTTTGCATAGGCTGCAATGCCTTACTCCAGATTCTTCTCAGGCCTGACCTTTGTCTCCTCCCAGAGAAGCTGCTCCAACTTCCCCAATTCCCAGTTTTGCATTCTTGCCTGTGGGCCATGACCATTTTAAAGGTCCTCTCTTATCGTTATGGCTTACCTCTCCTGCTCCATAAAACAAAACCAGTTGCTACTGAGTTGATTCCAACTCATGGTGATCCCGTGTGTGTCAGAGTAGAACTGTGCTCCTTAGGGGTTTCAATGGCTGATTTTTTGGCATAGATCACCAGGCCTTTCTTCTGAGGCACCTTTGGGTAGACTCGAACCTCCAACCTTTCAGTTATCACTGAGCACTTTAACAATTTGTACTCCCCAGTGACTTCTGCTCCATATGCAGCAGTAAAGCAGCTAGGCATTTGTAACAGAGGAAGTTCTGAGAACCAAAGCTAGTATCTATCCCTTGTCCATATGTGCGTGTAAAAATATATGCCCGTGTTGGAGAGTTTGGTACAAAGAATTCCATACTTAGATTCAGACTAGGGTAGTGAAGGCCAGGTGCATAGGGATTTCAGTCCAGGGTTTCTAAATCTAAGTGGGGGCCTCTCCCTCTATTCTCCCTACCCAATATATGCCAGTTGTCTCCCAAGCCTTTGATCTGACTGCTTGGCAGTACCTCTGTCTAAAGTTAAACAATTTTCCAATGTGTGGATTGAAAAATTTCTGCACCCTGTGCTGGCTGGTGGAAGACCCATTTTGAGAATTGAAAATACTTGTATGTACATCCTCAAGCTGTGGCAGGCTCCTGACGGGTAATTCAAGCTTGCTCACAGACTGGAGAGGGAAGCTGCAAGCCAGCACAGGGAAGCCTGCCAAATTGGAAAGACAAGTGGCAGAGAACAGATTCCATTCTGGAGTGTAACAATCACATTAGTTGGCTCAGAGGGACACTGTGCCAGCATCCAACAGGGATGTGACATGGGTGCTGGGACCGCCAGCAGCAGCCCTGGGGCCCTGAAGAAGGGGCTCAGTGGTACCTGTCAAGAACAGAGACAGGCATGACCAGTGAGGCCTCCCAGCCTCTGCTGCACACTGAGCACCTGGGAGCAAGTGCCGTAGTCAGTGGAAAAGGGCCTGTGAGTACAGGCTCCCTTAGAAATGGAGGAGTTGGAAAAGCTAAGTATAGCAGGAGCTGAAACCCATACGCAATTTGATGTAATTTAAGCCTCCTATTTCCCTGGTTTTTCTAATGTTGGCAAGATAGCTGTTAACTGATTCAGCTCAGCTCAGACTCTGCCAACACAAAAAGCATCCCTTGCCAAGTCACTGTAGGATGTACAAAGGACACGTTGAACAGCCAGCCATTTGGGTCTCTCCCAGTGCCCACCAGTTAAGATCCAAATTTTTGGCTTGGTATAGCAAGGTCCTCCCTAACTGGCCCCAAATCATACTTCCAGTTTCAACTCCTACCACTTCCTTCCAAGATCCCCATGCTCCAACACTGAATTTTCCAGTGTTTCTTGAATATACCAAGGCCATTAACATCTTTGTAACTTCTCATGCAGTTTTGTGTGAATGCCTCCTTTTCTTCCTTACTATGCAGAAAACTCCTATGCAGCCTTCAAAATGTGGCATGAATGTCACCTTTGTAAAAGTGGGCACTAGAACTTCTATTTATTTATCACCTGTAAGTGCTAAGAGGTGCTAGGACCCTTACATACACTGCATCATGTACTCATAAAGCAATTCTGTCAGGTTGATATGAAAGAATTCTGTTTTACAGATATGAAAAATGAGACTCAGAGGATTTCAGAAACTTGTCCAAAGTTACTCAGCTAGTATGTGGCAAAGTGAAGATTCAATCAGTCAATCCATCAGTCAACCATGTTGGCTGTGTTCCTATTGGGTACCAGATACCCTGGTTACAGTAGAGGGAAAGGCTGACACAATTCCTGCCTTCATATATTTACAGTCTAGAAAGAGAGCATACAATATACAAGTACTTGGAAGTGGTACAAGAGAGAAAATTTGAGTGCCTATGGAATTAAATTCATACTGTTTAAAGCTCTTTCCATTTTCCTTGCTACCTTTGAGGCTTCCTTGGGCAGATTTCTTCATTGATTCTGCTGGACTCCACTACATCCACACCTCCCTCTGCCACAGTACTTGTTATCTTTGCTGGTGAACTTCCAGAGCATAGGGACTTTGTCTTACTCATCTTTGCACTTTGGTGTCCATAACAAGGCTTGTTCAGTGTATAAATGAATAACCAGTGCAGAACGGAGGGTCCTAGTAGAGGGAGTTTTCTCCTCACCTGAGAAATATCCATGACAGAATCACAGCTGAGCGGCCGGGCCGATGTGAGATCGTTGGAGCCCAGCAAGGTAGAGATGATCCCATTCTGATCAATGCGTCTGATCATGGTGCCATCCACAAAGTAAATCAGCCCAAACTTATCCACCGTAATGCCTGGGGGAGGAGAAGCCAGAAAAGGGAATTCAGTGTCAGAGATACCAACAACTCCATGCTCGTGGAGTCTTCCATTTAACAAAGCACCCCTCCCTCCATGATGTGACTAGATCCTCACCACAACTTGTGGGGTGAGCAGGACTACACTGGTCACGTCCATTCTCCTTTTTTTTTCCCAGGGGCTAATTGAAAGCAGGGGTTAGACTGCAGGTTTTCAGATTCTCCAGGGCATTGAATCATTCCATCTTGCTCCCTCCTCTAAAACTGTACTCATAACTCCTGGCAGTGGTAAGAAGGACCTTTTTCAACATCAACACTGTGAATTATTTAAAGTAACCTACTTCTGGAGCCTTGCAATTTTAATAATCAGATCCTCTTTTTAGTAACAAGTTTTCTTCCAAGATAATTGACCTTCATATTTTTCTATTCTTATTATTTTAGTTTCACTGGTCATTACAGAAGCACAGAGCTGAAAGAGAATCCTATAGATTTGTGTAGAGAATATTGTTTAATTTTTTAAAAGATACATCAAAGAGGGAGTCAGAATTATCACTCAATATCATCTTCCTCACTCACTAGTCTGTCTCAACCAATTGACTTTCTCTCTTACCAGCATGTGTGACCTTCGGCAGGTCAGCTTGTTTTCTCAGCTGTCAAATAAAGGGATTGCTGGAAATCTGTATTTTCACCCCTGGATGTGTGAGAATCACCTGGGGAGCTTGCTAAAACATACCCCCCAGACAGCTGCTTCAGAAGATCTCAAGTGGAGCCTGAGTATCTACTTTTATTTCTGACAAGCTCCTCAGGTGAGAAAAGCACACACCAAAGTTGGAGAGCCATTCTCTTAAACCAGTACATCTTGACCAGTGACCTCTAAAAGAATAATCACCTGTAGAGTATTTTCAAAACATACCTGTTTGGCCTTACTCCTGGAAATACTAATCCAGGGGCTCTTTTCAGAAACTCTCATGGGGGATATATTGATTTCCTCCCTGGTTCAGAGTCGCAGTAGTTAGACATATTCCTACCCAACCGAACTGCTCAGGGGTGCTGGGGCTGAGAGACCAATGAGACGTACCCCTGAGGAGTGCACAGGAAGGAAGGAGTACCGCGTGGAGTGCCCCTGGGAATGACCGAAGCCTGAGAGTGTTCATAGCAGCATAAAATAGGCTCTGTCTTGCCAGTTTTGTTCTGTTCAGTTTTCTAAGAAACAAGGGATCAGAAAAGGCTTCCCAGAGGTGGAGACTCTTGAATTATAAAGCTTTCCAGTTGTATAACTTTGGGCAAGTTACTTCACTTTTAAGTCTCAGTTTACTCATCAATAAGATGGGGGTAATAACATCTGATCTGGAATAGTTAAGCTTTAGTAATTACTAATGATTGTTAAAATTATGAAGAAGTCAACAGCACTTTGAGGATTTCTAGGCTCTTAGTCCCAGGCCCTCGTGTCTCTGACTGGCCAGTAGGGTGGCTTAAGATACTCAAGGGCCTGTTGGTGATGAAGCCCACCAGAGCAGCATTTGTTCCTTCTGCCCCTAAGTCTGTCCAGAGCAGCATTTGTTCCTTCTGCCCCTAAGTCTGTCCAGAGCAGCATTTGTTCCTTCTGCCCCTCTCCTAAGTCTGTCCAGGGCCTAAGGAGGGCCAGAGTAGCCTCAAGGCTGGGGAGCCTTTCTTCTGTCCTAGCCTAGAATGTAAATTAATCACATTCTTTAAGTACCAAGATCAGAGTTTTCTTGTCTGCCTAGGATGCTCTGTCTTCCTCTCCCATCTGCTAGAACTGATGAGTGCTCCATGAATAATTCAGCTTCTTGTTTACAGAGTTGGCTGCTCAGGCTAATAGAAGCCATTAGTCCCTTGATTAATTACAGGCAGTCCCTGGGTTACGAACAAGAGTCATTCCTGTGTCTTTAAGCTGAATCCGTGGATAAGTTGGAACAGGTGCATACAGTTCTTATTTAGCCTTACTTTAGTCCAAGAAAAGGCTCAAAACCTTTTCAATGATTTAAAAGCTGCACAGGAAGCAAGTGAAGATGATTGTGATGAAGAATTTGTTGCCAGTAGGGGTTGATTCAATCATTTCAAAGTGAGGACAAGTTTACATAATATTATAGGGCAAATATGAGTTGTCCCTTGTCCATAAGTTCCTGCTGCAAAGTGTCTGTGTGTCATGGCACCTTTTCCATTTCTATCTGGGTTAATGATAAGCTTTTGGATAATTTCACTGTCCAAATATCTTCTCTCTTAATACCGCTATATCTCTCCATGTATGAGAGAGAGGGAGAGATTTTGAGAGAGAAGTGGGGAGGGGGAGAGGGAAGAAGAAAAAGAGGGAGTAAGTAGTGAAGGGGGAGGGAGGAAGAAAGAACAGAGAACACATGTGTGTAGAGCAATTGATAAAGGCCTGGAGGAAAGAAAAATCTCAGAAAAAAGCTGTTTTAATCATAAGGGAGTGAATGCTGTACCTGAGAGAAGCCATGGGGATCACTTAACCCAACCTGCTCATTTACCAGTAAGGAAATTTAGGCCAAAGAAGATCACAGAGTCAGTGAGTGGCAGAGCAGAACCTTAATGCAAGGTCCCTAATTTCAAGTGTTCTTTTCACTCCAGGCTACTCTCTCAGTATTAGAAAATCATAATTAGGATGGAGATTAAGCATGGATATCACAATACTTACTCCACAGAGTTACCACTTAACTGTTCCAGATGTGTGGTAAATATACTATAAACCAAAAGAACCAAACTCATTGTCGTCAGGTTTGATCCAACTCATAGCAACCCCTCCTTGGGTTTCCGAAGTGGTATCTCTACAGAAGTAGATCGCCTGATCTTCCTTCCAAGGAGTGGCTGATGAGTTTGAACCAACAGCCTTCTGGTTAGCAGTCAAATGCCTTAGGCACTATGCCACCAGAGCTCCTAGAAAATATACTATCGTAGACTGTAATGGTAGGAATCACCACTTATGGGATGTTTACTATGTGCATGGTATTACATTATACATTCATGATAATATTTAATGTGTATTACAACTATGCAGAAAATGAAAATCCTCACAACTGGACCAATAAGCAGCATCACGATAAATGGAGAAAAGATTGAAGTTGTCAAAGATTTAATTTTACTTGGATCCAAAATCAACACCCATGGAAGAAGCAGTCAAAAAGCCAGAGGTCATATTGCACTGCAAAAGATTTCTTTAAAGTGCTGAAGAGCAGAGATATAACTTTCAAGACTAAGGTGTGCCTTAACCCAAGCCATGGTATTTTCAATTGCCTTATAGGCATTTGAAAACTGGACAAAGAATAAAGAAAGCCGAAGAAGAGTGGATGCTTATGAATTGTGGTGTTGGTGAAGAATATTGAAAATACCATGGACTGCCAGAAGAATAAACAAATCTGTCCTGGAAGAAGTACAGCCAGAATGCTCCTTGGAAGTGAGAATACCCAGACTGTATCTCACCTACTTTGGTCATGTTGTCAGAAGGGACCATTCCCTGGAGAAGGATATCATGCATGGTAAAGTGGAGGGACATCAAAAAAGGGGAAGACACTCAATGAGATGGATTGACACAGTGGCTGCAATGATGGGCTCAAGTATAGCAAGGACCTTGAGGCTGGCACTGACTGGGTGGTCTTTCTTTCTGTTGTACATAGGGTCAGTGTGAATCAGAGCCAACTTGATGGCACCTAACAACAACAACAACAACTATGCAGTATGTCCTTATTTCATAGATGAGGAAAATAAGACCCAGAGAGCTTAAGCAACTTTCCCAAAGTCATACATGTGGCAAAGTCTGAATTTGAATCCAAGACTACTTGCCTGCACTAGAATCTACTGCTTTGATTTGAAACCAGAGCCTGAAATCTGCCACATTTATCAATACAACCACTTATTATATTTTTATAGGATGTCATATAAAATGCATTAATTTTGACCCTCACAACAATCCTCAGAGGTACCCTCATTTTATTGATGAGGAATCTGAGGCTTAGACATTATAAATGGCTCCAATTCCAGGGCTAGCATGTTGCAGCCCCCATCTCTTAACCCTCATCCAAGACTCTGCTACACTGTTTCCTCAAGTGGCCACTCAGTGTCCTTTGCCTTTTAAGCACCACCTGCCAGGTTTAGCTGTAGGTGTGATCTTTTGCATGTCTTTAGATCATGCAACAGGAAATGCTTTGCTGATGGACGTTTATTGCTAATGATGACACCTCTAGGATAAAGCTTTCTAAGGGTCTTCTCAACCACAAGGGGTGTGGCTTCTCAGCCACAAGGGGTCACTCTTGTCTCTGAATGTGTTCTTTCTCCTTGCATCTCAGGAAGCATTTCTTCTCTACCATATCAGAGCAGGTCATGTTCATGTCTTATTTATTTTGCTACAGTGAATTTATTTGTGCAACCACAGTGCTCTGCCTGCTCAGTAAATAGTTGCTGAATGAATGAATGAAAAACTGTGATTGTGGGTATAAGGAGGTTCAACTTTCAGAGGGACTCAAGATTAAAACTTACAGTTAATCCATCCTATAGCACATGTGCCAAGATGATATGCTACAATGCTTTATGTAACAATGATTAAAACAAACAAACCAACAACGAAAAAAAAAAATAAAACCACTATGAGAAATAATGTAAATGTCCAGCAGTAGAGGACTGATGAATAAAAGATGGGACATTCATCTGATGGAATACTATACAGGCAATAAAAATGAGTACATAGAAGACTAATGATATAACAAAATGTTCATGATATATTGCTTAGAAATAAAAACATGTTACTTAGTCTGTTTAATGTGCTTTCAACTTTTTTTTGAGGTGTGGACATTATATAAACACAAACATTCAGGAAAAAGATTAAGAAGAAAGGCAAGAAATGACAACTGGGGATATTCCTGGAGGGCAGAAGCATGGAAATTTTAACTTTGTGTATATTTCTTGATATTTTCCATCTTTTAATTTTTTATTTATATAACTTTTTTTTTTAATAATGATGTACATGTATTTCTTTTGGAAGTGGAAGGCTCCCCAATATATGTTACTGATAGTATTTAAAAAGGAAAGTCTTACCCCTGGGGTTGGTAAGTGTGGCTTCTGTGGCCTTCCCACCATCCCCGCAGCGAGTGTCATCAAAGGGGAGGCACTGATCACCTGTGCCCGCGACCACCTCAGAGTTCTTGACCAGGTCCTTCACCACCACAGTGGACTTGATTTTGAAGACTCGCCGGCTATTGGTGTCTGAAAGGAAGACGGTCCCACTCATAGGGTCTGTGGTTAGGTAGTATTTATGTGCTGGACTGTGACTGGAAAACAAAGACATGACCTTTTGGTGAGCACTTCCTTCCTTCCTAATGGATAGAGATGGTACAACTCACAGGTACAACTTATACAACAGGCACAATCTGAATCCCTGGTCTTTTAGAATCCAAGCAAAAAAGTTCTATGGGAGGATGACCCTATTTGGGATGATAGTTTCCCAATTATTCTGACCACATGGTTGGCCTAACTCTCCCTTCCACCCAGCTACTACTACTATAACGACCTCTTGCCCATGATTGGGATGCCTTTGTAGCACTAGGCCCGTTTAAGATGCTCAATCCATGTTTTCCTAAAAAGATTATCAATGTGATTTATCATACATGAACTGTAAATTCAAGCCAGAAACACCAGCACCAACAAAAGCCATCAAGTGTTCAAAACAAAAACCCTTCTCCACACAGAGATTTTACAGCATAAACCTAATTCCACCCTGGGACTGCCTGAAGAGACCCTGGCTGGATCTGACTACCAGTCAGTGTCAGCTCTGTCTCCTGTTGGTACTCATGTTATATTTATCAAGAGCCCAGAAGTCTCCCTCCTGCAGTCAGATATAAATGAACTGCAGGATTAGTTTGTAATCTGCAGCAATACCCAAGGAAAAATCAACAAAACAGAGCAGCAGTGCTGAGGATGTTTCTGTCCCTGGAAAACAGCCATAAGGATCAGGTTACACTAACAGGAGAAACAGAAATCAGACCATGACTATACAGAGGCATCAGGAGCACAACACCCTCTCTAACAGCAAGGTGGGGAAAATGCACAGGTGTTGAGAGGTGATGGGTTTGGGTTCCAAGTCTAGCTCTGTCATTTCCTTGTTGTGCAAGTTGGGTAAATTAGTTAACCTCCTGAACCTCACATTTTCCTTGTCTGCAAAATGTGGATAGTGACAGCTACCTTGCAGGTCTCTGGTGAATATTATATAAAATCATAAACACAAACAAGGTGCTCAGTAATAATTATTTTAATTACAAGTCATTGCATCTGTTTGTACTTGGAGGTTGACTATGGAGTTGGGCCTCTCTTACTAAGTCTGAATTTTGCTATGATATAGTACTGATTTATAATTTCTTCTAACTCCAGCCCACACTGGGTTTGGATCCATCACCCTTGGAAGCTAAATTTCAGTTCCTGTGCATAGCTTGCTCATCTCCTAGCCCCTTGACCTGCATCTCAGGATTGACAGGCCCTTCCAAGTCTCAGGGAAGTCTTCTGGTTCAATGTTCTCTCTCTCAGTTCAGACTGCATGGCCTGGTGTTGCCCATTTTCACTGGATAGTGGGCACAAACAGTGCTAGAGAATTCAAGGGGCAGACCAAGTAGTACTGAGAGCACCAGCAAAGTAGAGGTGCTGCAGATCCCTCCGAAATGCAAGTAAAAGAACCAAGTAAGTCTAGAAAGAAGCTATTTTATATTTTATTGGGCACTTAATTTTGGGTCCTTTTTAAAAACAAAATTTTATTTTACAGATTGGTGTTGTTTTCATTTTGATTTGCATATGAAGGTTGGGGCACCATAATTTTTTCAGTGTCTAGGTGTTAATTGTGTTGATCCTGCCACCCTGAGTGCTCATCATCATAACCATCCCTTGATGTGGGCAGTATTCATAGGGACTGGCCGATTTTAATAGGGCCAGGCCTCTGGATCCAAGGTTTCTGTTCCTTTATTTCCTCTCACCTGAACTCAGCTAGTCACCATGACTATCTCCAACTCTCCAACTGGCCTTTCTCTCTAGCCCTAATACTACTGTACCATTGCCTCATGCTCAAAAAAAAAAAAAAAAAAAGACAGGCCTGTCTGCCTGCAGCCTGGACCCTCTCCAGGGTCTTCACCTGCAAGTAGCCCAAATACTAACATCTGATTCCTATGCGTTCCCTTTTAGAACTTCCCATTTGTTAAGAGTAAGTTCAGCCTTCCCAGCCCAGCAGCACACAAGGTCCCTCACAATGTGGTGCGGCTCTTTCTTCTCAGCCTCTTTCCACACATTTCCTCCCAGATGCCCCATATTTCAGCACAGCTGAAGAACTTGCCCCTCAAACACGGCTGCATGCCTCTGGGTACATGGTGTTCCTGCTCTGTAGCATGCCCTGTCTTCTACCTTTTCAGCCTAATGAAATTCTACTCATTCTTCAGGCCTCAGCTCTAATGGTACGTTTTCTGGAAAATGTTCTCTGACCCTCCTTTATTTGTTCTGAGAGCAGCCTGTTCATATCTAGGTTATACCAAACCAAAAACCAAACTCACTGCTGTCGAGTCAGATCCAACTCATAGAGACCCCTCCTTGGGTTTCCCAGGCAGCATCACTATGGAAGTAGATTGCCCAACCTTCCTTCTGAGGAGTGGCTCATGGGTTTGAACTGTCAGCCTTCTGGTTAGCAGTCAAATGCCTTAGGCACTATGCCACCATAGGATGCTTAAGTAGTGCTGTAGCTATTTTTTTCCTGTGTTTGTCTCCCAAACCAGACTGCCAATACTTGGGGAAGAGACTGGATTTTACTCGTCTTTGTTTTACTACTAACATTTGGCTTAGTGCCTTCTGGCCCACAGTAAAAACCAAAACCAAACCAGCTGATGTCGAGTCAATTCCAACTCATGGTGACCTCATGTATTTCAGAGTGGAACTCACTCCAGAGGGTTTCATGCTGTTATTTTTCCAAAGCAGATCATTAGGCCTTTCTTCTGAGGTGCTCTGGGTGAGTTCAAACCACCAGCCTTTTGGTTGATAGCTGAGCACATAATCATTTATGTTACCTAGGGACACTTAGCCCATGGTAGGCACTTATTTTAAATAGATGTCATTTCCATTCAAAACCTTTTAAATAGGACTTTCATTTATATTACTTAGCTTCTCTGTTATTTCTCTTTTGCAGGGGTGGTAAAAGGGGAGATGCTCTATCTTGAAAAATCCCCTGAGATTACCCTATAATGCAGCATAGATTTAATCTTCACAGAGGACACTGGTTCTGATGAAATAAAAGGCAATGACCTCAGATCCTGCTCTGCAGTGCCAGGGCAGCCTTGATCATTCTGCTTTCCTGATGACAACTGTGAGGTAGGAGTGATTATTCCATTTCTCTGCCCAGCACTCATAATAAACTGACAGTACCCACATTGGTGAAAAATGAGTCCCTGACAGAGTGTGGTAGGGGTCCTATCCACTTTGCCATCCCCCTTGAGTCTCCAGCTCATGTCTTTCTGCACTGCCCTAGAGAAGTGTCACTGCCATGGGGCCTCTCAGATTGTTGAATTCCAGAAGAGAGTGGCATTAGCAGAATTGCCCCCAGAGTGTCTAAAAGAGCCATGATCGCATCTTTGGGGCCCCAAAGCAAATTTGAGCTGTGGTGCTCAGTTAACTGTAGGAGAAAGAGCTCTAGCTCTGAACTTAGAAGGTTGTGAGTTCTTATTCTGGGCAATTTACCCAAACCTTTCAAGTCTTAGGTCCCTCATCTGTTAAATGATTAAGTATATTCTCTGGTTTGCCATGAGAATCAAATGCTATTTTATTTCTGAACAGCCTTCTTCCTCTGCAGAGTGCTCGGACATTCTTCAACGCATTGCTTCCTTATGCCAGCCACCAAGGGGAGCAGCACCTGAATCAGTGATGCCCAGCTGGACCTCCCCAGGCTGCAGCACCAACAGTCCTCAGAAGAGAGATGCAGAGACGACCACCACTAATACAAATGATCCATCACCACTCATGAATGCCTATCTGTCCCAGATACTGTGCTGGCACATCACACACATGACCTGTTTTCCTCAAAACACCATATAAGGTGGGTACTTAAAAAATATATTTTAGAAAATGGAGACTAAGAAGGGTGAATTGACTTGACTAAGGCCAAAGACTGCTAAGGGCAGGATAGAATTCCAACCCAGTTCTGCATGACACCAAAGTCCATGCTCCTTCTATTCCCCACACTGCTTCTCAGGGCCTAGAATATCCTGAAAGCACCTGCTCATCTCCTGAGACTCAGCTCGAGCATCACCGCATCTGTAACACCATTCCGGCTTTCCCCGTGGGTAGAATCGGCCATTCCTTCTTTGTAGTTCACTGGACCCTGAGTGGATTATATGTTTATACCTATAACACCTTGTGACACTTTTCTGCTTAGCTGTTTGTTTCCTCAATGAAATCTTGAACTCCTCAAAGGCAAGGACCAAATTTAAGTCCCTGGTGCCTAGCACTGGCTGGTGCAGAGTAAGTGCTCCAGAAATGTTTGCTGCATTTACGAGTCAATGAAAGAATGAATGAGTATCTACCTCCCTGGCTGGAGGGCACATAAGAAACAACCATGACTAAGAATCTTAGTCATGGTTCTCAAACACAGCTACACATCAGAATCATCTGGAGAACTTTTATAAAAAAGCCCTACTCATGATCGCTGAAGGGCCTGGGCATCTGTACATTTAAGATCTGTCTAAGTGACTCTGAAGCACAGCCAGCTTTCCTTGGAACACTATTCTCAAACCTCAGTGTGCAAATAAGTCAGCTAGACACTTTGTTAAAATGATTTTGGTTAGGTAGTTCTGGGGTGTAGTCTGAGATTTTGCATTTCTAACAAGTTCTTGGATGATGCCAATGCTGCTTATCTGTACTTCTAGTATGAAGGCCTTAGAATACCCTGCAAGTCATAAAAGATTTCAGGGCATGAGATGGAAGCTGGCCTGCTGCTAGGACCCCAGGATCAGCTCTGTGGACAGGGAATGTTTCGAGGACAGTTCTGTATCTCCGGTAACCTGAGCAGTGCTGGGCACAGGAATGGTCACAACTCTTATTTCCAGAACTTCCTCCAGAAGCTCCTGAGGACCTAATTTTGTGTTACTTCCTCAAACATAACCTTGGCACCTCTGGAAGCTACATAAAATTTTAGAGGCCATACTTTCTGAAGTTAAGGAACTGAAGTAGAGCCTCACTTAACCCTCTTTGTGGATGGAGTAGATAATTTCTTAGTAGGAGCTGGGAGCCAAGAAATCTCAAGGGACAAAATGCAATCTATTCCCTGCTTCTTAGTGAGAATTCTCCTTTCACCCCAGAGTAAGGTCTGCCTTGGGCAAAGGAATATCTTTTGATCACATCAGGAGGCACCTCCGGCAGAACTTGACTCACTGGTCCTCTAGACCAGTGGGAGGAGCTGGGCTTTGGAGCCACTCAGAGGTTGAAATACTAGTTCTAATACCCACTAGGAGGTGCCTCATTAGCGTAGTATAGGTAGCACGTCAGTCTCATAACACCCACTAGGTAGGTGACCATGGGTAAATCACTTCATTACTCTGAGCCTCAGTTTTCTCTTTTGAGAAATAGGGATAATCATGACTATGTCACAGAGCTATTTTGAAGACAAAATATCACTGTAAAGCTCTAAGCACAGTGCCTGTCTCATTAAAAATATAAAAATGCCCAATAAATGGCAGCTTTTAAGCAAAGCTGGTCACCTGGAGAAACTCCTGGAATATTCATGTAACTGCAAAATGGAAAAAGCCAAGTACACTAGCGTTAACGTTGTCTTTTCCAACCTACTCCCTGGAGGTAGTGTAGAGCTCTGCTGGGGTTAATATAATATGTGTAGCCTGGTTTAAGGAGCTCTGGTAGCATAGTGCCTCAGGCACTTGACTGCTAACCAGAAGGCTGGAGGTTCAAACCCACCAGATGCTCCTCGAAGGAAGCTTGGTCAATCTACTTCTGTAGTGATACTGCCTCAGAAACCCAAGGAGGGGTTGCTATGAGTTGGATCTGACTCAATGGCACATAACAACAACAACAACAAAAACAGCCTGGTTTGATGGGAGACTTGAGTCAAATGGGTTTCTGAGCAACAGGCTTCAAAATTTCTCCCTCAGGAAGAGCTCTGGGAAGAGGTGGGGTGCTTGTTCCATGAAGGAGTCCACAAAGGAAGATGACCAAAGGATTATGGGTCCCTGTACTGAACATGCCCAGCATGGTGGGCAGGCAACAAGGCTAAAAAGGCCAACCTAGTCTGCTCTGGAGAAACACACACATACAGGCTAAGGCCATGAGCCATAGAGACAAATGCTTTACTGGGAGCAGATGAAATAGTACATACTAATAAATAAAGAGGACAAAATCTTTAGTATTTATTTAATCCACCATTACTGATGGAGATACTGAGGCTCAGAGAAAGGAAGGGATTTACCCAATATCCAGGCGCAAGTTAAAATCAGAACTGGTATTTGAACCCAAGTTTTTTGACTCCTGATTGTTCTTTGGAAAACTGGGAGGCAAAAAAGAGATTCCTTTTCCCCCTTCCACTTTGGTTCACTTTAGAAATCGTTTTTAGCATCTAAGAAAACACAATGACTTGAGAGGGGGGTAAAACGCCAGCTGTGAAATTATAGATATATCAAAAGACCACTGAACATCAGGATCAAAAGATACAAAATCTCTCTCAATCCAGAGGTGATGAAACTGAAAACCAGAAGAGCTAGGTGAGCAGCCCAAGGCTGTACAATCCAGAGCCGGACCAGCACCCTGGCCTCCTGAGTCTTCCCAGCTAGTCCTTCTATATTGCAGCTACGTCCCAGGCATAATTACCACCACTGATTTAATGCTTTAGGATTAAATGCTAGATTTTAATCCAAGATCTTGATATGAAATATACTTCTGTATTTTCTGTAAAACTGAATTTGAGGGCTCATATCATTGCATAATTCAGTCTACTCCATATGAAGTTCACTGAAAAGTCTCAAAAAATATTTTTTTCCTAGAAATGGACAAATTCTCTAATTTATGATAATACAAACCATGAAAATAAAAGTTTTTCTGATTGCCATGGTCACTTGGAAGCTCCGAGTCTAATTTGATGTGTAATCATTTACATGTGTTTTCTTTTGTTCTCAATTTCTATTTAATTTACTTTAGTACATGTGTCTTTAGTTACAAGAGGACTGAATTCCTTTTTGGAAAATACCAAGGTATGATACTATTATATTTATAATATTATTATTAATACAGGTACCAATTCTGGGGCTCCTCCCTGTACCTGGCACAATTCTAAACACTTTACATGCATGTAAATATTTGTACAACAATTCTCCAAGGGCGATTTTATTAACCTCAAATTAGAAACTAAAGATCAGAGAGGGGAAGTAATTTTTTAAGCTCACATAGTTGGGAAGCCTCAGTTTTCTCACTTGTATATTGGATGCAATGATGGGTACGTACTTCACAGGGTAGTTTTGGGGATGAAATGTTATAACCCATAGAAAATGGTTAACTCCCTCTCTGCTACAAGGAAAATGCTCTATACATATTAATTATTATTATCATCTCAAAATAATATAGATGACTATTACATTAATTATATATATATAATCATTATTAGATTTAGGTTCTGACTCTTTCCACCATCATAAGACTTAGCATGTGTTCCACATGCCACTGTGCTCTGAACCACATGCAGATAGCTGAGAGCTGCCTCTGCGGTGGCTACTTTTCAAATCACCCAAATGTGTGTGAGGCTGGGGACTCTGAGGTGACTCTGACTTAGGAGTTAGATGACAGGGGATGCTGACAGGCTGACATTGCCCTCGTGTCTGACTAGGCCCACTCCTTCCTGCTGCAGTGCCACTGTGAGCCTACATGACAGATCTACTCTGTGACAAAGCTCTTGTTTAGGGATTTGTCTCTTCATGTGGTCCTTGTGGTGAGAATATGCCTTCCCACTATGTCCTTGTTGCAAACCTCCTGGTGAGGTCATCTGACATCTAGCCACCAAAGCAGAGGCATGTGAATGCTCATGGAAGTCATTTCTAGATTCTTAGCCAAAGCAGGATGTTTTAGGACTTCCCATCATGAGCACCAAAGTGACTCCACATAGTTAGGATGATACCCTCATTTCTGCTGAGGATAAGGAGACTATAGTGTTCAATTATTATGCCAAGGCTTATGGTTTAAATTTTTTTTTTATTATTATTTTAATCTGTCATGCCTGCAGACTACCAAAGTAACTGTCTCATTTGCTACAGATTATAGGGAGTTCAGCTTCTCACCATCCACCTTCATCATTATTAATGACTTCCTTTCCTTGAAACTGATTACCTCAAATCAGTTCTCGTTACACAGGATTCATTTCCATTGAGCCATCGGAAATTGACATGTGTTGCTTACCATACAACATGCAACAAGGCAGGGGAGAGACAGGAATTTTCTCCACTGGTTGGCTTACCTATGTCTGAAATCTTTATTTCTGACAGAAGACAGGAGAGCAGGGAATAGAAGAAAGAAAGAGGTGTTAGCAGCAGGGTTAGAAGCATTATTAGCAGCCTGAAAACTTGACAGCAATGCTACTGCACAATACTGTAATAAATAAAGACTTAGCAGCTATGACACTGATATATTTTCTATTGTATATTACTTGTCAGTGAGCTCACTTACAAGCAGCTACATATCACAGAGGTGGCATGGTTTCGCCTGCACCATTACTGCTGACTTCGGGGAAAGAGGACTAGGTTGACACATTTTGCTGCTTTAACAATGACTGAGACAGGGATTGGAACAGTAGAGTCTCTGCATTGTACAGAGATGGTTGCCTAGAGATACACATGCTCAGTACTTTCTCTGTATGTCTTCAGACACACTGCCCTACAACACTTACTAAAACTTGAGTAGCCCACCGTGAGCCTACACACAATAGGGCATGAGTTACAGATATCCTCTAATTAAAAGGAAGTGGGTGACACAGAGAAATAGGCTAAGGAAAAAAGACTGTAAGGAAATTTGTCAAAGTGATAATACATCAATGTATTTACTTTTCTTTCAAAATTTCATCCAATCCTCCCTTCCCTGCTGACTGTCTCACATGATCTCCTTAATGTTGTTGTTGTTAAGTGCCATCGAGTCATTTCCAACTCATAGCGACCCCATGCACAGCAGAACGAAACACTGCCCGATCCCGCGCCAGCCCCACAATCCCTGCTATACTTGA